ACTCTACAAAAGTGTAAGCTTCATGAGACATGTGACCATATGTGTCTTAACCTTTCACTGTATTCATAGCACCTAGTGGATATAATCTAAAAATTCTGAAACAAAAAAAAAAGGTACCTGAGTTTGCAAACCAGAACAATACTCCAGATGGTTCAAGTATTACCTTCACTACAAGCTAGATGTGAATCTTTGCAAGTCTCTTAAAATTTCTGGCCCTCAGATGTCACATAATTTGAAAGACCAGGAGGTTGAATCAAGTGATCTCTTAAGATTTTGCATGGCTCTAAGAGTTATGATTTTATAATGTACAAAGTATTTTTAAGTACTGGGTGATAATGGTACAGCACAATACAAAAGTGAGTAATCATTCACTTTTTGTAAATCAAACCAAGCATTAAAACCAATAGTAACATTACCAGCTCTTTATGCCAATGAGTCATAAATGACATTTGCTTGGTATATTTTCCCATAAACTATTTTCTAATATAGTAGTCAAGGATCATAGATCAGGAGAAGATGGATATTATTTCCATTTGAATAAAAATGCATTGGAAGTAATGAGCAAAGATATGTATACTAGAGTGATGCTTTGTGTTCTATTAAAATTATACCATTTCAAATGGTTGGTTTTATTCCTTTCACCCACCCTATTTTTTTTTTTTTTTTTTTTTTTTTGCGGTACGCGGGCCTCTCACTGTTGTGGCCTCTCCCGTTGCGGATCACAGGCTCCGGATGCGCAGGCTCAGCGGCCATGGCTCACGGGCCCAGCCGCTCCGCGGCACGTGGGATCTTCCCGGACCAGGGCACGAACCCGTGTCCCCTGCATCGGCAGGCGGACTCTCAACCACTGCACCACCAGGAAAGCCCCACCCCATTTTTTAAATAAAATTTTGCAATAGCTGTACTTCAACTGAGACCTGCATCATTTATATAAGTTAAAACTCTATGTTTCTTAGTGTGAATTTAATGTCACATAAAAAACATTCTTTAAGTTCATTTTTCACTTTATATTATTCAATTATAGGACTCAAAGCTATCAAATGATTTCTCATATTGTTTATTTTTTCACTGTTATTATAAGATGTTTTGGAGAAATTTATGTTAAACCCAAATTTAAAGGTTTTAACATTAGTCCCTCATATGTTATATTTTCATAGGAACACAAATGCTATTTCTATTAAGTAAACATTCACATAATTCCATTAATTTAGAAATAATTTAAGAATGTAAATTATCTAATATAGGATATTTTTAGTATTTGGAAAAAATGTAGTTTTGTTTTATTGTTTTGTTACTTTTATTTATTTATTTATTTTTGGCAGTATTGGGTCTTCGTTGCTGCATGCGGACTTTCTCTAGTTGCGGCAAGTGGGGACTACCCTTCACTGCGGTGCACAGGCTTCTCATTGCAGTGGCTTCTCTTGTTGAACAGCACGGGCTCTAGGTGCGCGGGCTTCAGTAGTTGTGGCACGTGGGCTCAGTAGTTGTGACTCGTGGGCTCTAGAGCGCAGGCTCAGTAGTTGTGGTGCATGGGTTTAGTTGCTCCGCGGCATGTGGGATCTTCCTGGACCAGGAATAAAACCCGTGTCCCCTGCATTGGCAGGGGGATTCTTAACCACTGCGCCACCAGGCAAGTCCCTGTTTTATTACTTTTAACTAACACGGTATATGAAGCTATAAAAGTCTGCAGAGTAAAAATAAATCTATTTTTGAAACTAGATAAAAATTGCTTTTAATCATATATTTAAATAAATATATGTAGACATATATATTTACATATACACACAAAAAATGGAAGTGTTTAAGAAATATTAAGAAAATGAAATGCAAACATTTACCCTAGAATCCCTTTCAGACTGTTTGTTTAGCAAAATATTTTAACATATGATTCAAAGACAAACTTCAACCCTACCAATGTCTAAATTAATGAGATTTCACAATGACTACTTAGTTGTATAAATATGCTTAACATTTTCAAGATTATACCCTGAAGCTAACAATAAAAACTCCATTAATAACAAAGGGGTGACAGAACTTGGGTTAAACAGGACTCATTCCCTGAACTGCTTGACATACTTATCCCGTCTAATTTATTCTCCTAAGAACACTGTTAAAATCGTAAGATCAAACAATTACTGTGATCAAACAGACAGAAACCTTGGAGTCAGGAACTCATGCATTTTCTATCACTTACTGGGTATGTGATTCTAAGTAAGTTATCTAAATTCTCTAAGTCTTAAAGGTAAAATCCAGGTAATTACACAGGGAGCATAGTGAAAATAATGTTCAGTGAATTAACATATATAAAACATCTAGCATAGTATGTGAAACAGAGTACAAACTCAAGAGATATTATTTCCCATATGTCCACCACCCTTTAAGCTTCCTCTCCTCTATGCCCATTCTCATCTTCTGATAAATACAAGTAGGTGGAGAAATGTGGATCACACTGATTATGTAGATGAAGAGAGAATCAAAGATGTGAGTCAAGAGAACATACCAAAAAAATCAAAGAGTCTACAACTTCCAGGATAAGACAACACTTAAAGATTGCCTCCCCCAGCAACTCAGACATGCTGGTGAGAGGGTCAGCTAACCTACTGTATTTCTTTATATCTGCTAAATTATAAAACAGGAGTCATTTACAATGTGCACATGTACAAAACTGTAAAATGTACAACTGCTTGGTCATCTGAAGAGATTTACTAGCAAATAGAGAAAAACAAAAGATAATTTTTTTAACTTTATATGTGCAATGGTTGATAAATTTTATTTTTATAATCCCAGTAGAATCTTCTGTTGATGCAATACTGAAAATTTCCAGATTTATTAAAGGAATATCCAGAGTAACTCAAATTTCCCTGTTCTCACCTTTAAAAGGCTCATCAATTTCAATATGACATTTAACACCAAGTTGTAATAAAAGCCATAGTATAAGTGGGAGAAGTAGGCTCCTAATATCCTGAGTTGTACAATAGGATAGATGGTGTTGCCATTCACTGAAATTTTAAAAAATACTAAGAGTGAACTAGGTTGCATTGGGTTGGGTTATATTGAGGGGATTTTTTTTTTTTTTTTTTTGTGGTATGAGGGCCTCTCACTGTTGTGGCCTCTCCTGTTGCGGAGCACAGGCTCCAGACGCGCAGGCTCAGCGGCCATGGCTCATGGGCCTAGCCGCTCCACAGCATGTGGGATCTTCCCGGACCGGGGCACGAACCCGTGTCCCCTGCATCGGTAGATGGACTCTCAACCACTGGGCCACCAGGGAAGCCCTTGAGGGAATTTTTATTTCAGCCTTAGATATGAGAAATTTAGTGTACTTCTAAGGCATCCAAGGAGGCATGTCAAGTAGGCAACTGATTACACAGCCACAGAGTTCAGAGAGGAAATATGAGCCGAGAGTAATATACGTGAGTCATCTTCAGAGGATCACCTAGAGATAGAGTACAGAGAGGAGAATGACATAGCCTAGGGCCATGCCTTGGGTAACTCCAAAATATTCTGGCTGAGTGGGGAGGATGAATTTACAAAGGAGTGGCCAGAAAGAGAGAAGCAAGATCTGTCACCTTGGTCCCAAAGGCCAAGGGAAATGAAGTCAACAAAGATCTGTGAGGAGGTCAAGTAAGATCATTGCTAAATTTAGCAATATAAAGGTCATTGATGATCTTATAGATATCTACCTATTTCAACAGTGACAGGGCAGAAGCCGTATATCTGTGGGTTAATTACTGAGACTTGAGGAAATGAGTGCTCATCATGAGCACTCTTAGAACAAGTTTGACTAAGAAAACAGAAAGCAAAGACAGTAATTGAGGGAAAAGATGAAGATTAAAGACAGGTTATCTAGGGTGGTAAGAAAGGTAGAGATTATTTTCAGGAGTCAAAACTTAAGAATATTTAAAAAGTGAGCACAGGACACAGTTGAGAAGAAAAGGTGAACATAATATATAAAACAATGTAAAATTTCTCGGAAAGTAAGAGACGATGGGATATAAAAATAGGCACAAGAAATAGGAAAAGGAACAGATCCTCTATGGAAGTAAGGAAAGAGAATGGGTACAAACGTGGTGCATTTAGATATCTAACATATCTAGAAAATAAGGTAGTTGCCACCTAATGATTCTAATTTTTTCTATAATGTAGGAGAGGTCCATCTGCTGACTATGATGGGGTATATAAGAGGATCAGAAATTTGAGAGAAGTAGAAAATATTTGAAAAGTTGTGTAGAAAGTAAGAGCAAGTATAGACCAGACAAATGCTACACATCACAATCCTTGAAAGTCTTGACAAATCACACCAATTGGGAAAGTATGATAGCAAGAAATTTATATATTCTAGTCTAGGATTAGAGAAACAATACCAGTAACCCCTGTTAGAGATGCAAAAGTGACCAAAGTCAGATTAGAAATTTTAAATTTTAGATCAAAATTTAAACCTTAATACAGTAGAAAACATAATTATTGAAATCAGTAAAAACAAGAGTATAGCAAAACAAGTTATGTCAGAGGATCCATGAAAATATTTACAGATCCAGAAATCAGCAAGAAAAACAATAGTAAGACAAAAACAGCACAGCAAATATCAGAAGGATTTTTATAGGTGAAACAGACTGTTCTTTTTTAGTAAGTTTATTTGCTTCCTTCTAACACAGTAGAAACCAGTTTCTAGATAATACTGGTCTGTCACTTTCTTAACAAGGAATTCACAGTGAATCTGGTAGACTTTGATGAGGGTGAGTAAAGACAGGTTTTAACAGGGTTTTTCAGAAAATAATTCAAACCATTAAAACATTGAGACATATGATCAATACACTATATTGATAAAAACACAAAATCACTCTTCTAGAGTCCTAGAAAGTAATTCAACCATACCGTTTTATACTTAACACGAAATTTCAGCTTCTAGAAATTACACATCCATAATTCCATGTAACTGAAGTACTTCTGTAAAATTACATCAATTAAACTTTCTTCCTTCAAATTATTTTTGTTTTACTCACTCAGACTTCTTTTCATAGGTCTTAGAAGATTCCTCAATCCTCTTCTCTAATTCCAGGACAGCTTCCTCCTTATTTAAAAGCATCTGCTGTGTCTGTATAAGTTCCTCTGCTAAAGTTTTCAACCTAGAATGAACAGTTTCCTCATTATCAATCAATACATTAATTACACTCACTTTATACATACAAAAAAGAAAAGGGATTCATATATCTAAGGTTGCAATGTCCAAAACAGTAGTCGCATGTAATTTTACACTACCAAATGTAAAATAGCTAGTGGGAAGCAGCCGCATAGCACAGGGAGATCAGCTCAGTGCTTTGTGACCACCTAGAGGGGTGGGATAGGGAGGATGGGAGGGAGACGCAAGAGGGAGGAGATATGGGAACATATGTATATGTATAACTGATTCAGTTTGTTATAAAGCAGAAACCAACACACCATTGTAAAGAAATTATACTCCAATAAAGATGTTAAAAAAAAGTTAATGCATATAAAAATATAAATTTAATTAATTAATTAATTAAGAGTAAAATTTCAGTTCCATCAGCCACATTTCAAGCACTCAACAGACACATGTGGCTAATGGCTACCTCTTTGGACAGAGAAAAGAACATTTCAATAATCACAGTGAGTACTCTTGGACAGTATGTTTTAGAGAGTCTTATTCATCAAACAGCAAAAGAGAAAGAGAAACTGAAAACAGAGAAAGAGAAAAGGACTAAAGTAAAAAATACTCATCTCCCAGGAAGAGTGTATAGTGAAAAAAACATGATTTTTGTTTTCAGAATAACATGTATTTATAATCTGGCTTTGCTACTTTTTATCTGAGATCCTGGGCAACTTGCTTAAGCTCATTGGATCTATTTTCTCATTAGTATTTTGGGTACTGTAATACCTGCTTCAGAGCATTGTTTTGAAGATGAAATACACTAATGTATAAACAATGAATGGTACTTAGGAGGCATCTGAGTAAATAACATCTAGTATTATTTGCATATGTTATCTCATTTAATTCTCACAACAACGTATGAGATAGATACTGTTATCCTTATTTTAAAGAAAAGAAAGTAAGGCTCAGTCACATGGTAATTTAATATAAGCTATTTCTGTTGTCACATATTACAATAGAGGTACTTTCTATTAATATATAGATTTGAATACAATTAAATACATAAAATTAATATGTACCCATAGACCGGACAATTTTTGGTTACATAAAATGCATCTGGTCCTGAATAGAAATATTTCTACCACGAAAACACACACAGCTGGAATCTAAAAAATAATACAAATTAACTTATTTACAAAACAGAAACAGACTCACAGACATGGAAAACAAATTTATGGTTATCAAAGGTGAAAGGGAGGGAAGGAATAAATTAGAAGTATGGGATTAACAGATATACACCACTATATATAAAATACATAAGCAACAAGGATTTACTATATGGCACAGGAAACTATATTCAATATCCTTTAATAACCTATAATGGAAAAAGAATCTGAAAAAGAATATATATACCTGAAATTAACACAGTATTTTAAATCAACTATAGTTCAAGTACAAAAAGGAAAAATAAAATTGCTATAATCATAAAAAATACATACACAGCTATCATCACATTAAAATTTTTATCTTCGGCTTTTTAAAGCAAGACATGAAACCCAAAATATACAAAATATTAAATAACCCAAGTATATGAATATTTGAATTTATTTAAAGTTAAAGAGATGATAAATAAAGTCAAAAGTAAAAGTCAAACTTCGAAGAAATATTTGCATTGGGAATTACAAGCAAAAGCTCATGTAGAAAAACTCTTAGAAAAAAGTCAACCTACTATGAAAATGGACAAAAAAACACAACAGGAAGTTCATCAAGAAAAATTCAAATGATCAGTAAGCACACAGAAATATTTACAACCTGAACCACAAAAAAAAAAAATCTGCAAATTAAATGAATAGTAAGTTATTTTTTACCTACTAAAATTGACAAGCATGAAAAAGTGATAATATTCAGTATTCTCAATATTGTAGAAAGAAAGAAAAAGGAGGAAGGACGGAAGGAAGGAAGGAGGGAAGGAAGGAAGAAATAGGAAGGATGGAAGGGGTATAGGATTGGAATAGGGGATGATTTAAGGACAAAAAAGCCTCTCATATTTTACTCTACATTTATCTATATTATTTAAATCTCATAACAAAAATGAATATGATTTTTAAACTATTAAATAATACGTAATAGAGATAGAAGAGGTAGAAAAACTATGAGACATAATCAGAACAACTCAAAATATAGGGAAGGAGGGAGAGAGGGAGGGAAAAAGGAAGGAAGACACATACCCTATTGATGTGACAAAACTAGCACAAATTTTTTAGTGGTCAACTTGGAATTGTCTCTCAAACTTCAAATTAGAATATTCTTTGACCATCTAAAAATCTCTCTTACCAGAATACTTTACAAAGTGCACACAATCAGTCCATATGAAGATGTTTGTTATAACACTGTTTATAAAACAAAAAACTAGAAAATATTTAAATGTTCATCAGCAGGGGAATAGCTGAATAAATTTTAATCCATTTAAGATACAAAGCATATAGTCACTAAAAAGAATGAGGTGCACAAATAAAACGTTCTTCCAAGGCAAAGTCTTAAATTAAAAGGCATGATGCTGAAAAATACATATAGCATGGTTCCATTTATATTGAAATAAATGTATGTGTATGTGTGCTACTGACTGAATTGTATTCCCTCAAAATTCATATGCTGAAATCCTAACCCTCAAAGTGATGGTATTTGGAGAGAGGGACTTTGGGAGGTAATTAGGGTTAGATGAGTTTGTGAGGGTGGAGCCTTCATGATGGGGTTTAGTGTCCTTAGACGAGACACCAGAGGGTTTGCTCATGCTGTCTCTCTCTCCAATCCCAGACAAAGAAGAGGTCATGTGAGTACACAAGAAGGCAGCAGTCTACACCCAGGAAAATAATTTCACCAGGAGCCAAACTGGCCAGCACCTTGATTTGGAACTTCTAACATCCAGAACAATAAGAAGTAAATTGCTGTTGATTAATCCACCCATTCATGGTATTTTATCATGGCAGCCATAGCAGATTAATACACTATGTATGTATTTATGTGTGAAGAAAAAACAGGTTACTACAAACCAAACTCATCATCACTCTGAGGGGTTTGGGGTTGGAATAGAGCGTGATTTAAGGACAAAAAAGCCTCTTGTATTTTACTCTATATTTATCTATATTATTTAAATCTCTTATAACAAAAATTAATTTGATTTTTAAACTATTAAATAATAGGTAATAGAGATAGAAGAGACAGAAAAACCAAGAGACATAATCAGAAAAACTCAAAAAATAGTAATCCACATTACTTCATCTATGTTAAGAGTTAAGCAACATAATAAATCTCAACGGGTTTCTGAGGGCAGTAATATATTATAGCAAAACAATCAATGATGCTTATAATAATGATCCAGAATCATAAGGGAAAGTTTAAATTAGATAGGTATTTTTTTAAGAATATATATATATTTACAAGAGACATACATCAAATCTGGTAAAATTATTTTGCTGAATTTAATGGCAATATAAGCTTTGATTATCAGGAAAATTCAGTTTTGTAGAATAGTTCATATCCTGACTACTAGACACAGAAAGCATTACTGTATTAAAATTAGAGGTCATTCTCAAGAAACCTACATTTCAACTTCTGGCTTCAAGCTACTTATTAACAACTATAAATACATAAGTAAATAACACTCACACATAATGCTTTGCTCTTTATAAAACTCTGCCCTATATATAATCTCATTTAATCAGCATGAAAGTCTGGAACACAGGACCCTACCTCTGTACCCGTCCCAACCCCAGTCTAGAGGTAATAAAGACAAGCTTCTCACCACTGCCTTGGCCATGTTGCATCAAAGCTGAATTTGATAGAAAGCTC